GTAGGATACTAAACAAACAGGTAAGTCACACAGAGTTAAATGAAGAACAACATGAAGTCTAACCGAGGTGGTAGAGATCAGTGGAGTGCGTGGAATTATAACATCATGCCCTACATACTTACAGTGGGAAATTCTTGCTTCTGTGGTGGTGGCTGATAGTTTAGTGACTACATTATAACATCATGCTCTATATACTTACAGTGGGAAATTCTTGCTTCTGTAGTGGTGGCTGATAGTTTAGTGACTACACATCTGGTACCATTGGTTACTTGTCTTTGGGGGGGTCTAGGGATCACAAAATTATAATAGTAGTAGCAGGTTTCATGAAAGCAATTAGGAAGGAAGACCTGAAACTTCTAAGGAGTTCAAAACTTCTCCAGGAGACTGGACAACTTGAGACTCATTGGAACTGTGTCTGTTAACCTATATTCAACATACTCTCCTGGCAGCTGAGCCACGAGATTTGCATTGATGATACAGGTCGTAAAATACAGCACACCAAACCATACCTTGTAACAAGTAAGCAAGTCAAGATTAACACTGGACACTAATTCGTCTACATTATCTACAAAGGTGGAAACATTTTCTGATAATTGTATCATATCTGGGCTCGTATCAATAGGAAACTTACCATCTCCTATAGCTAGTAGCTGGTCTGCAAACTATTCAGCTACCTCATCCCCACAAAGATGAACCCTCATCTTGGTGTGAAGATAGATACTTAACCACTACATGCTCCTACAAATGCGACCTTTTTAGACAGGTTCTACAATGTTAATCCTAGTCCCACCTTGAACAACAAGTAAAATTTGTCCGAAATTGCCACTCAAAAATGTAGAAATACCTCCCATGGGCTAGTCATTACCAGTCAAATCCAACTGCTATTGTCTTACCATCTTCAATTACAAAGTGGTATTTTATGCTGGGACCTACATTTTGCTAATATTAGGTTAATTAAAAAAGTTTTACAAGTGCCACCTGGAGCATCCAGGAACAGTAGGTCACCCTAATCCCTATCTATAATGGTGAAAAAGATATTGTATATTTCCTGCTGATCTACAGTAAGTAAAGGTGCATTTCACTCTACATATACCTGCTGCTCATCCTGGTCATAATTGATTTCCGTATAATATTCGTGTGCAAGTCTTTCCTCCTGCATTGTTTGTGGTTGAGGTAACCCATAGCTAAATAGTTTTGTACTCCTCATTGAGATCACCCTAGTCTGCAGATTGTTTAGGGCCAAATTGAAAATGCCTCCTCAAGAAGACACACAAGCTTCAGACACACTTCACGGAGGGAACAGCTAAGATAACCATTTACAGCTTTCAAATGGTTAAATGACTGGGGACCCCTAACATGATTTAGCAATAATCTGAGGTAAATCCACCCCCTTGACATATATTAATAGTTTAAGCTCTGCATATGATATGTGCCTCTTTAACATTCCTGCTTTCTCCTATTACATGTTTTGTTATTCCAGGTATAATACCTGGGGATATCTACATAGAGTAAAGTCAGAACAGAACTATTGCACGATATAAGGCAAAAATTCTGTCAAGGTGGTATTTAAATGACCTCCAGAAGCACGCTCAGCAGCTGTGGCCTCTGTAAAATAAATGCATTAGCCAATCTCTAAGTGGACAAAAAGCTGCTTTACAGGATGATCCCTTTCATGGATAGGGAATTCCATTATTCTCCAGGCAGCTTCATTACTACTTATGTGTATATTTTGTCTGGAGTGATCCTGTATTCAGAGACTAACCACAACAACAACTGACAATGTGGCAAGCCGCACTTTTCCATTGAATAAAGCCAAGACTGCTTTACTGAAAACCATTTATGATTTCAGAATTTCTAACAGCTTTTGTACTTTAAGCCTAAACACATACACCACTATATCGGAATGGTCCTGAGGATTCTGTCCAGGTAGGAAGCTAATTTTGATTTCAGGCCAGTTTGGATTTGTTGTGGAAGTTATGAACAAATCAGGATGTCCATATTTCCTTACATACAACATGGCATCTTGTTGATTCTTCTGCATGTAGCATGGTCCCCCAATAAATGTTGCTAGAAGAACAATTATTCTGGTAACATTTCTGGTCTCTTCATCTTCCTTTAAAATTGCATCTCACAAATCTTGATAGCAATCAGCTCGAGGTGCTGTTTGCTCTCACCTAAGAAATCATAATTGCTTGATTTCAGTCTTCCAATATATATCAACCAAAAATTGTTGATCAGCCTTTTAGCCCTAATTAATAGTGACACACTTGCTCTCTCCATGATATGGTAACAGTAATATACCATGGCAGTTAACTTTTTTCTGTTTTGAAGCTTTAAGTTTATGTGCCATCCATCCCTGCTGTGCGGGAAAAGCAGTGGGTGTTGTAAGGGATTGTAATCCCAATGTAGTTCTGAAATGTGCTTCCTACTGCCATCCCTGTGGTGAAAAGCTATATATCAATTGTGTACATTGTCGTTAGGCAAGAGTACACCTATTTCACCACCGAAGGTGTTGTTAAATCTCCAAACATGTTGACCTAAGAGTCTTTTTGTGTTATTAATAACAAGGTTTATATTATCAGGACTTTCCAAAAGCTAGTCATCTGGAAGGCACAGTTATATTTATGTATGTGTGATAAAAAATGTTTACCCTCAGAATGTATACACTCATACAGATCCTGTAAGTAATGTGGTGGGTTGGAAAATGGGTCCACTACAACCTTGCCATTTGAGCAACAGAAAGCTGGAGTTTTGTTTTCAGATCTTAAAGCACCACAGTCTAAAATTGGCTGCCTGTTTCTGCGAGACTGTTGGCAGCGTGTGTTGCTCACTTGTTTCTTGTGCTGTTGGTATTCAGGGTTGGACCTTGCCTCCTGATGAGTGACACGATTTTGCGTTGTGTCAGGCTCTTATTCCAGTAGCTTTCAATTGATATCATGGCGAGCAACATGATGTTGAAGGGAATTCCACTCCTGTTCTGCTAGATGGTAGGTGAAATCGTGGTGAGCTAAGCAATTCCAAGCTGCATCTTATTGTTGGTGGAGTTGTTTTTTGGGGGGTCTTCTCTTTGGACTTTCTTCCTGGTTTTGGCTTTGTTTGCCTGTTGCACTGAAGAAGCATTTTCAAAATTGAAATGTGCTGCAGATAAAACATGCACGTTATTATAGAATTGTAGCCAAGGGTTCCAATTGGACAAATTTGGTGGTGTTGCATCATTATGTCTCCTTCACAACCAAACAAACGTACTGGTGAATTTCAGCCAATGATATTCTTTATTAATCTACCACCAAAGGCTGATGTTCCTTATTGATCTACTATCAAAGGCTGATGTTCTTTATTGATCTACTACCAAAGGCTGATGTTCCTTATTGATCTACTACCAAAGGCTGATGTTCTTTATTGATCTACTACCAAAGCCTCATGTTCCTTATTGATCTACTAC